CTGGTCATCTGTATGTTTGTATGTATGCCGGCACGATAACTCTAGAACGAAAGTTATGATTGACTTGCGGTTTTGATTTTCTTGGAGGCTATTTTCATTCGAGATTAGTCGCCAAGCCTGCCAATTTATGAAAAATAAATAAGCAGTTTCTTAAAAATGACTTTATATGGTGGTGCTATTAAGCGCACTACTATTTCGCCCCTAGTCACAAAAATACATTCATTAAATTTCTCTGACGCAACCCCATACAATAATTAACCGGCTATTTTATTTGGCAAAAATCAAAATAATGCTTGGCTGTACCTGTCAACTGTGATATGTGAATGAATGGCTTTTAAATGTCAAATTATTTAAAAATGTATACTTCTTTTGATATTTATTGCAAATAATAAATATCTCATTTCAGGCTTTCCATAAATAAAAGTACAGCAAGACAGATAATATAATGTTCTTATAGAAAGCACTTTTTTATTATATAAAAGAGAGGTAGAATATAATGCCCATTTCAAACTTGGATCATTTATGATACCAAGGTGTTTTGTTGTGTTTTTCATTTTAATTATAAAGTTGTCATTTATTTGTATGTTGAAAGAAGGCCTTTGTAAATTACATTGCTCTCTATGGATCTACTTTAACACAAAAATAGTTTTGTGGCTATAAGTTGCTATAACCTATCTTCACAAAACTATTAATAATTTAAACATAGTAAGTGGTATTAATATAATATCAAGTAATTTGTTAAACAAGTAATTTTTTTTAAATAAAGTACATGATCTCAAAAAAATAATCTATAATAAATGCGGATAAAGCGAGGGATAAAATAACAATAAAGGGAAATACTTAAAAAGGGCAGGTTTAAAGAGTATTATCACAAGAAAGTATATTAGTTCTGTTTATTTATCAAGTATTGTTTAAGGTTACTTTTGAATACATGTATTGTTTTTTTTTTTTAATTTCTGTAGACAGTCTATCAAAATTTTTTAAACCTTTAATCATAATTGTATTTTGGGAACTTTTAGTGATGGCTTGCCGTACATGAAAGTTAGATTGGTTTCTTGTATTATAGTTGTGATATTGCGAATTATATTAAATTTTTTCTAATAGATCTGATGCGATGGGACTATCATTTTTATTTTATAAATAAATATCAGTCATGAACTGAACATAATTCTGAACTGAAAGCCAATTTATTTCTTTTAACATAGTTGCAATACTCATCCTGTCCTTCAATAATAGAATATACATAGGCGAAGTAAGAAGCCCAAATATTTTACATGAGCAGGCTTAAGAGGTAAAGGAGCCAATTATTATTGGAAAAATTGCTCGAACAAGTTTTTAAACCCTAATCAAAAGGCGATATAGAATGGTTTTAAAAATCAAGTCTTGTGAAAATCATCACATGGTTTAACCTTAGTAATGCCAATGCTTCACAAACCAAAAAATTCAACGTGCTAATACTACTATCCGCTTTTGGTATTTCGTTCCAAGTTAAATCATTTCTCGTTTTTGTTACGCTACGAGTTTACCCTTGTGGGCCTCAGTCTGGATAAGGTGGGAACCACCATTTTAGCGTCTCTCGAATTTAGATTCTCTTGCTGCTGTTCTAAATTGGCTTTTAAATTATCTTGTTGTTCTGTCAAGAGGTCTACTCGGTTGTTTAGCTGACCTACCTCTTGCTTAAAGTTTTCTTGAGTTTGCAGCAAACCATTCATAACTTCTACCTCAGCTTTCCTGCGCCTTTCTTTTTCCTCCTCTCTTCCTTCTTAAGCCTTTCCTTTTCCTCCTTCCTACGCCTTTCCTTTTTCACCTTCCAACGCCTTTCTTTTTCCTCAACCTCTTCCTTCTTACGCCTTTCCTTTTCCTTCTTTTTTTTTCTTCCTACGCCTTTCCTTTTCCTCCTCTTCCTTTCTACGCCTTTTCTTTTCCTTCTCTTCTTCCTTCCTACGCCTTTCCTTTTCCTCCTCTACTTCCTTCCTACGCTTTTCCTTTTCCTCTTCTTGCCTTTCCTTTTCCTCCTCTCGCCTCTTTCTCTCCTCTTCCATCTTCAAAAACCATGCTGGTGGGCCTGATGTATCCATATCTGCTTCGTGCGCCGTGGATCTTGTATTTACCATGGGTAACTTTTATTTTATATCCCACCGCTGTCACCAATGTTACGCATGTTTTAAGTATCTTAATTTATTTCAACTCAACTTTAACAATAATTATACAGTGAGCATCATAAGTCTTACCCCCCCTAACTATCTCGTTACTGGAGTCTTGTTAGGAAAATCGCCGAGACAGGTCGATTTTTTATTTCTACAATGTACATTTTTGTATGATTACTTTACCCTTTATTTCATCCCTTACTGGAGGGGAGCAACCCTTTTGAAAAATTTAAATGGCATGGTGTTGCGAGTGATAGCTCATTTGAAAGGGAGTTTTATTCTCTATTCAACCGTGCAAAAATTTTTGAAATTGACGTGTTGATTTATTAATGTTTAAAAATAACAAATCCTCACAAAATAGGAAAGCAACTAAACTAACAGTGACCTTCTAATGGCAAAAAGTCTTACTTCACGTCTGAACCAAAACCGAAATCATGCAGGGCCGAATTTTAATTCTAAGGATGAGTGCGCTACGTTAATTTCCGTTATTCTGAAACAACAATTAGTCGAGAATTAATAAAGCAAATTTTAAAAGTTCTTACACGGTTGAATAGAGAATAAAACCCTCTTTCAAAAGAGCTATCATTCACCACCCCATGCCATTTAAATTTTTAGAAAGGGTTGCTCCCCTCCAGTAAGGGATGAAATTAAGGGTAAACTATTCATACAAAAATGTACATTGTAGCAATCAAAAATCGACGTGTCTCAGCGATTTTCCTAACAAGACTCCAGTAATGAGTTAGACTTATGGTGCTCACCGTATAACTGATAACATTAACGTATAACGTTTATCATCAAACTATAAACTGACGTCAGGATTATCCTTATATAGCTTGCTTGACCCTTTTCGAACATTCTCGTACTATCGTCTAAAATATTCTTGACGGATAATGACATTTCCAGACATTTCTACACTATTCTATCTTCTTTTACTTGTACTTTTACTTATGACGATCGCAGCAAACTTTAGGGCGATGAGTAACATTCCACTTCTTTTTCTAGGTGTACGTTTCCTATATTAGCCGCAGGCTACTGCAGGGTGCTGCGTAACATTATTATCAATTTGGATATCAATTTCTTTGTGTAAGTTTTTAAAAATATCGTTCCACTAATCTCTGTCTCTCGTACATTTTCGCAATTGACATCATGCATTATTTGCAAAATATTGAAAACTAATTTTTTTTATGAATTTCGTTGTAGGGAGCGGATTTTAAGGATTGAAACATTACAATAAATCATAAGTTATATTTAATATTACATATATTTTTTTTTTAATTTCAATATTTGAACATGATTTGAATCGAAGCAACGCTTAAATATATACTTTTAATTTTTTTTTGTCAAAAGTGATAAAAATAAAAGGCGTACATCAGGAACATATGACTTTTGAAGCGAAGGGTAGGCTAAGCCTAATTACAATTTTTTTACAAATCGGTCTAGCTGATTTTTATAATCAAACACTGGACTATTAGTCATATGTTATTTTTTTATTAGGTATTTATTTTTTCTACACCCGTATTATAATAATGCACTTATATGCCCATAATCCGTTTCATAATGATACCCATTATGATACAGATTTTTCATTACGATACAGATTTTTAATCAATAGAAACCTACAATTTTTCAATCAAGCATGCTGTTTGACGTTTGTCCTAGGTTCCTATGTAATTATTTTAGTTGTCAAAACGTATTAAATTTTCGTAGGTAGCTAAACTTCGATAATTATAATATTAAAATGTCTGATATTAGCGATATAGAAGACTCCTCCACACATATCGGAGAAAGCAGAAAATACAGTACAAAATATTTTACCGCAAAAATCTAGGGAAATACCAATACCTGAAGTAATACCATTAGTTACAATTTTGTAGAATTTTTTATAGAAATACGAGTAATTACTGTTATTGTGTTCAATACCAATATAAATATAATATTTATAGGTCTTGATTATTTATCGGGTGTAGAAAAAATAGCGTATGCAACTCTCATGTAATGGTTATTAAAACACTCGCATAAACCATACGAAACTCGCCTTTGGCTCGTTTCGTATCCCGGTTAATGCTCGTGTATTAATAACCATCATTACATGATCGTTGCATAATATACTATAGTTTGTGTAAACCATTGCGAATAAATGTTTCATAACATAACATTAGTCCAGGGAAGTTAGGAAAAATAGCAGACATTTTTAGGGACAGCAGATATCGAGATGCGGTTTTCTGCATTGTGTTCAGGAAGGTCTCAGGAAAAGTCTATATTATCTGGTTTAGCCATTTTTTTGAAAAATACCTTCTGGGTCGGAAAATGCATTTTCCAATTGCATCATTACTTGCACCATTATAGGAACGACTGGAAACTCAGAAAAATCACTCGGAAATCGTTACTCGGAGATTTTCAGGGCTGCCAAACTCGATTATGGCATCAGAACTACCCAGGGGTGGCTCTATGGGGGTGATCGGGGAGTGAATTTGGGAAGAAATGGCAGCGTGCATGAAAATGGCTCCAAACTCGTTACTCGGGGGTTTTTGGGGATGCCGAATTCAATTCTAGCATTAGATTTGCCCCGAGGCGTTTGGGGGTGGCTCTCTTGGGTTGTCTGGGGGTGATTGGGGGGAAATGGCAGCCTCCATGTAAATCACCACTCCAAAATTGTTACCCGGGGCTTTTCGGGGATGCCGAATTCAATTTTGGCATTAGACTTCCCCGGGGCGCTCGCGCTCGGTGGTGGCTCTGGAACTGTTAAAGGAGAAAGTGAAAAATTACAAATTATAAATATAATACTTTATTCAAATAACAAATAGGAGTTTTAATTAATGTTGAATTATTCATTACAAAGTTAAATTTTTTAGCTTAACTTTTTAACTCTTCTTCTTCTTCCCCTTCTTCATCTTCTTCCTCGTCACTATTCTCGGCCCCGTTGGAAAAACCTTTTTGGTTTGAGCAATTGCCATCGCAATGCTTGCATGCAAGTGAGCACTTCAACCCACTTCGGCGGCACCTGCACCTCGTGCCACAGTCGGTTTCACAAGAACAAGAAATTTTGCTTAAAATTTCCTCGGGACCGGCTTCCTGGGTCATGGTGACAGGACTAAGCTCTCCATGTACCAATTGCCACCCCCATTCCAACGGATCTATGGTCTCGTCTTGACCTTGTGAACCATACGAAGCCTGTACTTGGAAATATACACGCTTGATATGCTCGGTTAACTCATTGGCAGTCGGGATTATGCGTGCAAGATCGACTTTTTTTAGAATTGGTGACCTCAATATAGATTTTTGCTTGATAGCTTTGGACGAGCTCAATCGCAACCCCACAGAGCCACCCCCAGGCACGTCCGTGGAAATTTAATGTTAAAGTTGAGTTCGGCATTCTCGAAAACCACCCGAGTAACGAGTTTGGAGCGCCTACCATGGACTATGCAATTTCCCCCTAGAATACCCCCCCGGATACCCCCGCAGAGCCGCCCCCGAGCGTTCCCGGGTAATTCCAATGCCGACATTGAATTCGGCATCTCCGAAAACTCCCGAGTAACGAGTTTGAAGCGATTTTCATGCACACTGCCATTTCTCCCCAATTCACCTCTTGCGCACCCCCTACAGAACCACCCCCATGCACCCCCGGGTAATTCTAATGCAGTAATTAAGTTCGGCAGCTCCGAAAACTCCCTGAGTAACGATTTCCGAGCGATTTTTCCGAATTTCCAGTCGTTCCTATAATGGTGCAAGTAATGATGCAATTGAATCGCTTATTGTTAAAAGGAATTAAGTCACATTTTTACGTTTTTTGACTTTAATACATGAAACGAAACTTTGAAGATATTCCTTTCGTTTGGTGTAAGAAAGAACCGTCTAACTATATTGCTTGTGTACTATTTTAGCGGTAATTATATGTATTTATTGTTAAAAGGAACTAAGTCACGGACTTTGTTTCTTTTGCAAATAAAATGTCTCGCGCATGGCAACATGGTAAAACCGGAACCTGTAAAAATAACCTCAAATATTAATAATAGCTTGTGTCACGACTTTCAATAGGTTGTTTTCTTAATTATTTATTTTTGGATACTTGTTTAATAGTCAACAAAAATACTATTATCAGGGGTAAAAGGACTAGAACACAATAATCATAAAGGTGTTTTTGTAAATTCTAAAAGCATTGGACAAACATGCAGGTAAGTTCATAAAAAAATTATCGAGACTTAGATGCTATAGCTTCAATAAATTATTTTAGGTGTCCTATGAAGTGTTTTAACAAGTTTTGGAGTGAGGGTAGCCATATGTGAGTAGTAGGGATTAAGTGTAAAGGTTAAAGAAAAGTCAATTTATTGGCGACCGGTTTCGAAGTTGTCACTTCATCATCAGGCAAACCTAAATGGAATGTCAAGGAGTCAGTTGTAATAAAAACAATTATAAAAGCATGAACGGACTTTAACATATACAAAATAACAGAAAAAACACAAAAGAAAGTTAAACAATAACCTTGACTCACCTTGACTAATTCCATAAAGGAAGCGCTACAAAAAGTTTAACAGAACGAGTTAAAAAAGTCATGTGTAATAAGTATTTTTTTTTTAAATTTTTAATGTAGGTTAGGTTAAACCACCAGATGTCTTTTTGAATAAAATAATTAATTAAAACACATTTAAGACAATTATTAACTAAACAACACAAAATAGTTTTACAAGCACAAACAGTTTAAAAATTTTTAAGGAAATAATGTTAATTACTGAAAGTAAAAAGTAAAAAAGTAAAAATTATCAGACTGTCAAGACATCTATCTAGATTTTTAACGAATCAATCCAGTAAACTGTAAATTTTAAATTAGCGGATAAATAGTGTACTAACGGAGGTGTTATTTACTGAAAGTGAGTATAGGTGGCGATGACAAAATTTATTGAAAGTAAAATATATTAAACTGAGAATGAGAAAGCAAAAAAATTTTTATACTAACAAGAAAATTAGAACACTAAACAAGAAAATATGAAAATTCATATGTAAAAAGGGAAATTTGAAGCAGATAATCAAAAAGAAAATTACTGTTACAGGAAACGGAAAATAGGTTGACAGTACGAATGTCAAAAAAGAAAAGTCAAATTTTGGCGTATGACAACCACGTGGGAGAATTTGAATAAGCTAAAAAATTTTAATAAGATGCGAATGGGCAAAAAATTTTTGGAAAGAAAATCTAAATTGGGAGAGTTAATTGTGGTAAGTAACTGACTGAAGATTAAAAATTTTTTTAAAAAATACTTATTACACATGACTTTTTTAACTCGTTCTGTTAAACTTTTTGTAGCGCTTCCTTTATGGAATTAGTCAAGGTGAGTCAAGGTTATTGTTTAACTTTCTTTTGTGTTTTTTCTGTTATTTTGTATATGTTAAAGTCCGTTCATGCTTTTATAATTGTTTTTATTACAACTGACTCCTTGACATTCCATTTAGGTTTGCCTGATGATGAAGTGACAACTTCGAAACCGGTCGCCAATAAATTGACTTGTGAGAAATAAAGGACCTTTTCTTTAACCTTTACACTTAATGTTTTAACAAGCTTAGTGACGATGAAAAAATTTTAATTTCAAATAAATTGTACCAACTTGAAACAAAAGATGAGCAGGATATATACCTGCAAGGTTTGATTGAGAGAACACCAGTTGCCCGAAAACGTGCAAGAAATCCCGGTGAAAACAGCAAATCAAACTCATATTTTCATTTTGTACCACTTAATCATCAGAGAATAAAGGTTTGCCTAGCAGCATTTTTAAGCTTACATGCAGTAACAGTGAAATGCGTTAAGAGACTTATTAGAAACAAACACGACCCCTCGTGATAATAGAGGCAAATCTGTAAAATCAAACTGTTTGCCAGAATTTGAAATTCGACGTATTCGTGAACACGGAGACCCATTATTCAAACCGAGACTACTATTACTTGGATTCGAGGCTAAATGTGAAAATAATGTACGAATTATTTATGGAAAAACATCCAGATTCTAAATTAAAATACTCATATTACATAAAATACTTCAATGAGCATTTTACATTACACTTCGGCCACTCTCAAGTTGATACATGTATCACCTGCGAATCATTAAATTTAAAGATACAAAGCACCTCATTAGGCGATGCAGCTAAAAAAGCAGCTGAAGCGGAGCTAGCAGTACATAAAAGGAAGGCTAAATATTTTTATAATATTTTAAGCTAAAGTACTGAAGAATGCCAACGAGAAGATACTATTACCGGCATCGGCATCGCCTTTGATTTTATGCAGAACGTAAATTTGCCGGAAGTACCTGTTCAAGACCTGTTTTATGCAATACAACTCAATGTTAATATTTTTTGCATACACAACCTTGGTACTGGTATCATTTTATTATATTTATCATGAAGGTCAGGCAAATAAAGGCCCTGATGAGTTGTGCTCCTTTCTACTTGACTATATCAATAATGTCGTAGACCCAAAATCAAAAGAATTACGATTATTCTGTGACAACTGTCCAGGGCAGAACAAGAACCATCCTCTTATTAGATTGTGTATTGCTCTTGTAGAGACCAAGAGGTTTAATAAAATTCTACAGTACTATTCACTACGAGGACATTCGTTCCTTCCTTGTGACCGAGATTTTGGAGCCATAAAGCGCAAATTACGGATGTTTGATAGAATTTTTTCTCTTCATGAGTACATAGAAATATTAATACAAGCCAGTACAAGACAACATTTCACAGTGAAGGAAGTCGGTACAGAAATAATTTTAAATTTTTAAGAATGGTGGTCAACTTAACATAAAAAACAATTTGTTCTATGGTATCCAAATCTGCTAAGAAGACCAAAAAAATGGATTTTACAATTTCCAAATTTCATTATTTTGAGCATGATTCAAAGACACCCGGAATCGTTAAAGCATCTGAATTTATAAACAATAACTTTATGGTAAACACGTTTGTTTTGAATAATCCGAAGAAGAACACAAATAATATTAAAATGCCTACAACAAAAGCCTATCCCGAAGATCGAGTTCCGATTTTACCTTCGAAAATAAGGCACATGCAAAATTTAGTGACCTATGTTCCAGAGGAGTATCAAGATTTTTATTATAATATAATAAATACATGGATAACTAAACCTGTACCTACATAAATATTAACTGTGATTCTGTGACACTTGTATTCACAAAAATAAACCACTTTTGTTATATTTATAAAAAAAAATCCCCGTTCGTTGTTAAAAGGAAATAAGTCCAATTTCTTCTTTTGCAAATTAAAAAATAAAGTCATTTGATTTTCTTCTGTTTTTTATTTTATCCAACATTCTGTGCATAAAGGAAGATATACATAAGCATAACATTTGCATTTTAAACGAACTTTCCTTTTAAAATGGTTTTTGTTAATTATCTTAAAATTCTTAAAAGTTACTTAGATCCTTTTAACAATAAGCGATTCAATTGAAAAATGCATTTTCTGGCGCAGAAGGCATTTTTCAAAAAATGGCTAAACCAGACGATATAGACTTTTTCCCAGGGACCTTCCTGAACACAATGTAGAAAACCGCATCTCGATATCTGCTGTCCCCAAAAATTTCCGCTTTTCCGGTCGATTTTGATCTAAATGCCCTGGACTAAAATGTTCACCAATAATAAATAATGTCAAAGAAAAGTGAAAAAATCGATTTAGTTTCGAAAACTGACATATGTAACTTTTGGAAATGTGGAAATATTATCCCCAATTCCCAATGTGTGCATATCGGCAATATTTTTAAATTTTACTTTGATTTGTTTTCACTTTAGGGATGTGTACATTTCTTAATCTTAAAGGAAGCATTGAGGATAACATTTTTACATTTCCAAAAATTGAGCAAATAATGTATTAAAAAAATAATAAGAACCCCACTGTTTTTCTATTAGTAGAATCTGCTGAATTTAGTATATTTATTGTATTGTAGTACATGACCTTCTGGAAAAAAGCATCCACGGACCGAACTTCATCTATCCTCTGCTGATTCTGTGACTAGTTTTTGATATGCTTATGACCACTTCGTACCGTCTATGGCCGTCTTATTCCGTTCCGCGACCCCTAAAGGATCAGGCACTTTTCTTGTGTAAACGGAAGTACCGCCAAAATGTCTGAAATTTTAAGTATGTTAAATTACTTGATGTCCTCATCAAAAGTGTCCATGGA